TGTAAGAAAATACTTTCTACTGCAGGTAGGAGAGATTTATTATCTAAACAATTTCATTTTTCTGAGTCATTTTTTTCTTCAAGTTTTTCTGCCCTGCTTTATTTTTTTAAGCATCTCTTCAAATTTGATCCCATACTTCTCACCAAAGCACAATTTCTCACCGACTTCAGTAAAAATTTTGTTTTTGTAACATGGATAGGTCAGAGTATTTAAAACATCAATCACAGCCCAAGGGAGAACTGTGACTGCATTTCAAACAGACTGGAGACTAGACCAGAAAACTGTCTCAGAAAAGCAAACCTGGGTTCTGAGAACGCAGTTCAGAGCAATAACAGCATTCCACTAATGAAATGGGTATATCAGAAGTTTGTATCTTGGGCTTAAAGTTGAGATCAGAAGAGAGAGTGTTCTTCCTCATCCCATTTTGCTCTAATATCAATCCAATTGAAAAAGCTTGTAGGGGTGGGGAACCTGCAGCATCATGTGGCGACATGTGGCCCTCTAGGTCCTCAAATGCAACTCTTTAAATGAATCCAAACTTCACAGAACAAATCTCCTTAATAAAAGGATTTGTTCTATAAAACTTGGACTCAGTCAAAGGGCTGCACCCAAGAACCTAGAAGGCCACATGTGGTCTTGAGGCCACAGGTTCCCCACCTCTGATCCTTCTTGCCTGTTAGCTTACAAGGCTGTCACTAGCATGGTCAGAAATAAGACATTATTCTATAGAACAAAGGAAAACGTAATTTTGCCCAAATTTATCTGGGTACCAAGGGCATTCCTCTTTCTAGGATGCCAACTAATAGGATACCCTGCCTGTTTTAATTTAATCCTCCCCTATGCTTCCTTTTTTTCATGCCACCTTAAGACATGTCATTTTTTCAAGATTCTAATAGATTTTTAAAAATGTTCTTTAAGTGTCTAGGTGTTTTCTAGACATGGGATAAATAAAAAAAACTCAAATAAGATACATAAGGAACACATTAGAAAATAAGGTTTTTGAGGGATAGGGCTAAAATAACTTGGCTTAGCTAATAAAAGGCTGAAGCACATCTTTTAAGTATAAAAGTGCTATATTTTAAGAAAAGCAATGTGAAAAGAGTTATTACAGAGAAGATGGTCAGCAATTTTGTCTCTGTTGAGGACAAAGAAGAAAAAATGTTTAAACTGAAGCATTGAGCATTTATATTAGATGTGAAAAAGAGATGCGGGTCGGGGTTATCTTTGTTGTGATGTTACTCAACTTTAAAACCCATTCTTTCTGAAATGAGGTTCTTTTCCAACTATGATAGTTTCAATGCCATCTTTCCTAAAAGCCCAGGGCATAAACTAAATGATATCTTACAGTCTCTTCCTACACGATAATTTTGTGATGTATGTAAGTACAGTACTATTTAACATGCACACAGCATAATATTTTAGTATTATCAACTACAATATATTAGTATTTTTCAAAGACATTACTGGAAAATTTTTTAAAGAGGGTATACAGTGGCATAGTCATGAAAGGGTCCAAGTCCCCTGTATAATTGCCATTGGCAGAGCTCCAAGTATCCATACTAAATGTCAACAATCTTCTTGACTAAGTCCTTGATTTGCATTAGGTGAAGGCCACAGTGCTTTTTCTGGCTCTAAGCATTTAATCACAAATGCACAAACTTCTCTACTGGACTTAGTATCTCAGTCCTACATAAACTATCAAAATCCAAAATTTTCAATAAGCAGAAAATAGGAAAGGATTTAGTTCACTTTCAACTATGCCACCTCAAAATTACATGAACTCATTTTAGATTTAATTATCGAGTAAAACATTGTTCTAAATGCTCTACTTTTAAAAAGATAACTTGACTAAAAAGTACAATCTATTTTCATGAGAATAAGTATTGCAATTAAAATGTAAAAAACATACAGAATTGATTTACCGATTCAAAAAATACAAGTAATTTTTGAACTCCTAAAAGAACTTTTAAGGCTTAGATTAAGTTCTTCAGTGTAATGACCTAATAACAGTAAAATCACAGTATGATTTTTCTTATAATAACAGAAAAATACACACATATATTAAAATTTATACATCTTTTAAGTCTGTGGTCCACATTCTATCAAAAGCCCTCTTGGCTTTTTTATATATGGCATTTAAAATAATTCGTAGGAAGGTTGCAAAGTGCTTTTCCCACAAAAATCCCAAGAGACTGATCATACAAGTAACACGGACATTTTACAGATGAGGACCCTTAATTCAGAAAAATTAAATAATTTGCCCAAGGTTATATAACTAGTATCTGTGGAGCCCAAGATTTCAACTCGGGTCTCATGACTCCTAATTCTATCACTTTCTATGACATGTTTCCTCTTTTCCAATGTTTAATCATGTATTTTTCATTGTTATGTTAAAAAATAAACTTCTAAAGAGTTCTATTCTGAGGCATCTGCATCAGCTATTGGTGAGGGTCACAACATCATCTAATCAAAGCATTGACTACAGTATTTTCTTTTTTGTTTTCCCAAATCACCAAAATACTATAGGATGTGTTTTCTCCATCTACTGTTGTTTTTTTTTTTTTAAATATAATCACTTCTTAGTTGATAATCTGTGGATAAATGAAGCCCTTAGATTGAAGCCGGCTATAATAATTTTAAAATAATTATATATATAATTATTTAAAACATACATATATATCTTATATCTATGTATACAAACATACATGGCTATTTTCAAATCTGTTGATTTTCCTTATTTTAATACTTCAAGGTACTGAAATTTTGTCGATGTAGTCCTCCTTCCATTGATGCTTATCACAACCCCTCTATGAGTCATATTTCAAATCTCGATTGCATAGGATAATAGATGAAGAGCTGCAGGGGACCTCAGAGACATTCCAGCCCAACTCCTCTAATTTTACATAACAGGAAATTGATACTCAGGTGACTTAAATGACTTACCCGATTGTAAGTAGCAGAGCTATGATTCAAACTCAGATTCTCTGACTTCAAATCCAACATTTTTTCCTACTGAGCCATGATTTACTCTTAGCCTCTATGGCTAACCTTCTGACTTAGGATGATCCCCAGAATACAGGTAAACAGCCCTTCACTGGGGCCATATTCAGTATCCTTTTGGACTGTTACAATTTACCAGGTCATATGCCCTAGTGGTCATGAGGCCATGATCACATCCACTGAAATATAAAGTATTGGAGTACAGTGGAAAGGTTACTAATTAAAAGGCACAAAAATGTATGGCAATCCATGACCAAATTCAGAAACCATCCAAAGTACATTAGACCAAGCATTCCAAACTTTCCTAATCAGTGCACAGGTGTTTCTTTTCTCCCTCTTGACTTGTTCCCTATGTAAAGTTTATTGTAAATGTTTATTCTCTAGATTTTGTTTTTGTCTTTGTGAAGGTTTGCATGTTGCCTGAGTGGTCTGTGTAAACAGGAACTTATCTAGTTTGTGACAATTACATGCTGCACTTGGAGTTAAGAGACCTGGTTTCTAATGCCACTTCTACTGTTAGCTTCAAGACCATGGGAGTCACTTTATCTTTCTGGTTCTTTATAAAACAGGATATTCATATTAAAACTATCTAGCTCCCAGGGTAGTAGTGGGGAAAGTATTGTGTAAACTCTAAAGAGTCATATAAATGTGTACTATTATTAATACTTTTCAAACATTAATTGGGGTCATTGACTGAAAGCAGTACCAAGCTAGAAGGGGTAAGGAAAGGACTACCAATGGTATCATCAGAATCTCAAAACTCAACATAAGCCTATTTCTGCATAGCCAAGTAATATGATACTCATAGATTTATTTCTTCAGCGACAGTAAGAATATTTTTTACATTGTATCATTAATTTTATAACAAAATTAAAATGTTTAAGAAGTGACTGCTTCTCTAAAAATAAACACAGTAATATGTTTTCTGAACATTTATGGATGGAGCTGGCTCCAAATATTCACTTGCAACAATTAAAGATACTGTATCAGTAATACTCATTGTGCCAACAATAATCCCCATAATTTAATTCCATAAAACCCTGAACATGGGCTGTGACAAGTCATTGACATTTCCATAAAGATGGTCCTAAGCATGTTTTTTTCCATTAATTTTTAGGGGCAAATTTATAGGGATAAAAAAAACAGAACAAACCTGCTCGCTATTTTGCTTAACAATACTAAGAAAACCTCAAACTTTAAGTCTTTTTTTTTAAAAGCTGTTTTCCATTTCCGTCTATCACAACATATCAAGAGAGATGATCTCTCATTTTGTCCCAGACTTCAAAACACCCCCTCAAATAGGGCCTTAAGTAAAACAAGTCAAGGACTTTAAGAAATTTAAAAATCACGTTGGAACAACCTTTGACATCACAGCTGACATCACTGCATGTCACTTTCGTTTCCAGCTTCAGGGGGTCTCCCCGGGATAGTTAAATGTTGCTTGCAGACAGAATAAGGGGGGGAGGGTGGGAGCGGGGAGGAGATCAAGCATGAGAAGGGCAGATAAACTAGACAAGTGATGGAGAGGAAACATGAGCATGAAAAAACCAGTGGCGCCTTTGACCTTCCAAAACCTCAACAACTTTGAAGGTTTGCAGGGCTTGCGGGGGGAGGGGTAAATTTAAGGTGACGTCTTTTGGATGGTCTCCTATTTGGGGGAGGAGAGCAGTCGTCTCACACAACCCATTGGGGAAAGGAAGGGTGGGCGGGCTCGCCACCCGCCTCTCTGCGGGGGGGGTCGGGGGAAGGGGACACTCTGGCCCTCAGTTGGGGGGGGGGGGGGAATCAAGGAAGCCAGAGGCCAGAATAAATCTCATGTTCTGGCCTCCACAGACAGATGCATGACTCCGGGACACTCAGATCACCCCTCACCTCACCAGGTGACCCAGACAGTCCTTGACAGTAACCAGCAGGGTCTCACACCTGCGAAAACAACCAGCACATGGCGGGGGAGGGAAGAGGCGGCGGAAAGCAGCTGTACCTGGAGGACACCCACATACCTATCATGGTCACAGGGCAGGTGGTGGCTCTAAGCACAGGCGAAGGGAGCTTAACATTCGCACAGAGGCCTGCCCCGAGGCCCCGCGCTTGCCTCTCACAACCAGCGTTTCCAGCTTTAAAGCCCTCAGATCCCTCCTCCCTCTTGTCCCCGCCCTTGCTCCCACCTTTCCCTACCCCGCCCCCTGAAGATGCGGGGGGAGGGGGGGGTGAAGAAGGAGGTAATGCGCACGCGCAGATCTCCACACACCTCCCTGAGGCCTTCTGGGAGGTGTAGTGCGGAAACTGCTGCTCATTTTCTAATCCGCCCGTCCTCGCCCCGCCCCCGCCCCGAGGCCTTTCGCCACCTCCTGGCCTCAAATGTCTACGTCACTGGGAGATTGTTCCGCAGCCATGTTGATACGTTGCCTAGCAACCTCGCTGAGCCCCTTTGGAAGCCTGTTGCTGCTGCAGAATACGGTCCTGCCCCCTTTCTGCTCCTCCCCTCCCCCAAACTCCTTCTTCACCTTGGAGCTGCCAAACAGCTGGAACTAGGCGCAAACCCGGGCAGGACCTGGAGGGTTTAATTTATTACCATAACAGTGCCGTTTTTACTCTCCATAACCCCACTCCGGCTGTGTCCCTCCCTCCTTCCCCTCCACCTCCCAGTCATTCGTAAAGCACTGGATGTGGGAACAAGACATTTCCTAGGAAGATGGTGGCAGAAAAAGAGACCCTGAACCTAAATAAAAGTCCAGAGAAGATGATGAAGAGGACCAAACTACAGCCGCAACAGCCATTCCCGGTGCACCAGCCGCACTCCCTGGTTTCTGACGGCTTCACTGTCAAAGCCATGATGAAAAATTCAGTCGTAAGTGATATCTCCTCAATTCAATGCACTCACTCCGAATCAGGCAGGGTACACGAAGATACAGGTGGACAGACTGTCGTTATCCGGGAAGGTTTTGTGCCCATCATCCTGCGATGATTTAACAATAAAAATAACGTTTTGATTTATAAGCACCCTCCAGAGATCTCAACTGATAGTTTCCAGGCCTCTCAACATCCTCCAGCTGCTGCTGGCCTCAGAAAGATTTCCTTTCCCTGCCCCAACCCGACCCCAAATTCAAGGTCTTTCACTTCATGAATTATGAGTTTTACGTGAATCTCTTGTAAAACTGTCAAATCGACATAAATTCATTCAACTGATAAAATAATACTAAAAACAGAACATTTTAGACTGTCTAAACCTTTTTCTCCATTAAATATGATGTTTCACTGAAGTACAAGATATTTCAACAATTATTTCCTAATACACCTTTAAAAGCCCAGCCCCCTCCAAAGTCTCCTAAAATCTGACCTTCCAACTAGCGTTAATCAAATTTAAGTCTGCCTATTGGTGTAATCAAAATGTAATTTATAATACTATGTTTGTCCTCTTTAGAAATAAAATAATATTAAGAGCAAAAAAGGGAGAATATGGTAGGAAGGGAATGTAATAAAACAAAGTACATGTATGACTTCTTTACATAAGTTTAATTAATAAATTATACTTTTCTTTGATAAATGGTTTTGAATTTAGTATAACAAACTAAATTTGCCAAATAATTGGGAATTGAACATTAAGTAACTAAAACAGCTTTCGAAGTTGTATAACTTAAACTGGTAGAATCTGAGTAGTTATATTGGAATATCTTTCCTCTAATGTCACATTAAACCCATATATTTATGTGTATCTATGTATACCATACTCACACAATAAGTCTATGAAATGGCTACCTTTTGGACAAGACTATTATGATGTTATACATAGTGTCTCATTCAGAATGTGTGTGTGTATGTGTTTCTTGGAGTTTGAGAAAACAAAACATTTCTGTTTACAAAAACCTTATTCTTTTTGTTATAGTTCAAGCAAAAGTTAAACTTAAAGCCAAAGGATTCTCATATATCACCAACATACAGTTCAGAATTTGTTCCAATTAAGAAGATAATTTATTTTTCTTGTTTACTTGAATTTTATGACTGTATAAAACATTTTTTATTCTTCTCTTTAATGCAATTATTTTATGCTCATTAAAAAGGCATAATTAATAATACCAACCTATATTTTCCAATATACTTAGACCTTTTGTTATTTAGCATAACCTCACCTAAAGAGTCTGTGGCCTAGTAAAGTCACAGTTGTTGAAAGCAATACATTTCAGATATATACAAATATACCATACATATATGTTATATATGTTATATACAAATATACCATACATACATAATATAAATATAAATTATTTAAATAGTAAATCCATATAATTCTTATAATTTCTTAACTTCCACGAAACTTTTTAGTTGTTCCTGAACAGCAAATATCCCCATGGCTTCTTCGAAACTCTTTATTATACTTTGAGTAAGACGATGCAATGTCTTAAACTCAAATGATATGCCTTTAATCCATTATTCTGTAATATTTGCCTGAAAGTAGGGATGGGAGGAAAAATATGCCATGTAAATAAAATAGATGATTTCATATTTTTTCTTCTTTCCACCTAAGCCACTACATATCACTATGGCATATGTATAGATACCCTGGAATAGCAGTTAGTCTCAGGTAGATACTGCAGGATACAGCAAGGTTCTAGTCTTATGATAAGTCTCCATTTCCTTTCTAGATGAATGAAAATGGTGTCAGATCAATATTCAGGGAGAGCAAGGAGAAAGAAAAATAACTTCCCAGCTTCTCTTTTATGTATAGGAAATATCTTAACTCTTGACATGTCAGTGATGTTTTCCTAATGTCTTCCCTTCCCAGGGAAACTAAGATAGTGATTGGTAAGAACACAAGACATCATTTGTTAACTCCGCTCACATACCTATGTTGTGGAATCTTTGAGAATTGTAATTAGGTGAGGGAACAGAGAAGTGGAAAAAAAATAAGAAAAAGTCTTACTCTTATTTGACTTTGCAAATTTACTTTACCTCATAGAGTTAAGAACCTGCTCTCATGGCCTTGATTAAACTGTGAAAAAATGTTTCTTCTATGACATTGTATAGCCACATATATATAGGACTTACTGTAGAAAATCAAAATTCTATTATATCAATTCTGTTTTCATCAAAACTATTCTCCATGCTTACATAAACAAGTCTCAGAAAGATTTTATAGAGAGTCAAAGGCAAGTGTATGTGTTAGTGGTCACTGATTTCTGCTCTATCATACTTTCCTACTAGGAAAAAAAAAAGCTTTTCTTTGGCAAATCTCCCAATTTGATGCCTGAGGGATTTAAAAATTGTTGTTTCCATTATATATTTTTGGTTAGGTTCGAGCACAATTCCACCTTCATCCTCATCAGTGCCAATGTTATTTTCTTACATGGAATATCAATGAATTCTGGGGTAAAAGTTCAAACTTTGGGGTTCCACTATCATCATCAGTGAAAATAAAACCATAAAAATTCCAGAAGATTTCTTTCATTTGCAACTATTTGCTATTGTCTGATACTAAATGCAGTTGTTGTCAAGATGATCTAGTTTAGGTGAATCCTAGGAAATGCTCTCCAGAGATTAATTTTCTCCTCAATTGTTTTCACCACTTAATGAGATTACTTATAATACTTCTATCTTCCTCCTCCATAATAGTTTGTAAATGAACTTGTAACCTAAATATGTGTTGCTATGTTCCTCCACTTGGCAGGGAGATTACATGTTGATTGAGTAAGATTTCTGGTTCCTTTTGACCTCCTTATTATGAGAACTATTTTATTTCACTTATATTTTTTAAGGAATGGTATCTTTACTTTTGGAGGAAATTGGCTTTTTCATACTTTTGGTACTGAGAATTTGTTTAAATTGTTTAGACTGAAATATATTCTCACTTTTATCACTTTTTCTGATTTGAATTATACACAGATGAGTTTCAAAAAATAATATATTTTGTTTTAATGCTAGATATATTTTTCAAGTAGTAATAACAAACCCGGTGTATAATAAATTCCCTGAAAAATTGTGTTTACTGATCTGTTAACAGAAAGAGGGTAAATATTCTTTAACTTTGATGATATTGGCATAAACCATTTATTCAACTGAAATTTTAGTGCCTCTCAATAGTGACTTGTTGACAACATTGTTGAAGTTATTTTATATGTATATATATATATACACACACACATAAAAATATAAATACCTATGTATATACATATATATTTCTTGGCTCTAATTCACTATCACTTTCTACAACTCTTCTGATTTTTTCTGAATTCTTTATATTTATCATACCTTATGGGGTATATTCCCTTGTATTAATATAATATTTTGTTTTCAGTTTTTTATATTCATAAGAACTGCTAAAGACATTTTTGTACCCCTACATCTTTTTCTAGGTGCCAGACTCCTTGTGGCCTAGTTACAGTATTACAATCTATGGGTCAAAAGGTCTGAATAATTTAGTAACTTTTCACATATTATCTTAAATTGTTTTCCAGAATGGTCAAGCTAATTCACATCTCTAACACTGAATTAGCATTATTGACGTCTTAAAAGTAGCAGTTAGGTGGCACAGTGGGTAGAGTGCCAGACCTGGAGTAAGGAAGACCTCAATTCAAATCAGGCCACAGATACCTACTAGCTGTGTGACTCTGGTCAAATCCCTTAATCCTATTTGCCTCAGTTTCCTCCTTTATGAAATGAGCTGGAGGAGGAAATAACAAACCACTCCAGCATCTCTGCCCAAGAAAACCTCAAATGGAGTCATGAAGCATTGGACATGACTAAAACAACAACTTCTTAAAAGTCATTCTACCAATATTTTTCCGTCCTTTTAAATTTTTTCACCAATAAGGCCAAGGTAACATGTTAGGGTTATTATAATTTGCATTCCTCTATTTTTGATTTTTAATATTATGTCCATGTGACTATTGATCAATTGAATTTCTCTTTTTAAATGAAGCTAAAATGGGTTCTTCTATCTGTGCTGAGATCAGCAGTTATGTATGGTGCTGTACTTTGTGCTCTAACCTTTAAAACAAGTTGCTTGTAAAATATTTGGCAATACTTAGAGAAAAAGCAAGTCAATCTGCTGTTGACAGGCTCCATAGATT